TTGGGAGTTCCCTATTAGAATTCTGTAGTCTGTGGTTTCTGGAATATTGGATTCAGCAGATGTGCAGTGCATGTTTCTGGGACTCCTTGCCAACACCGATTCAGTTCCAGCTATAGTCTCTGCTTTGCTGGCATCTCCCAGATCCAGGCTTGTTGTAAACTAAGCCCTGAGTCTTTGACTTTTTCATCCAGTAGTTAATTAACTGTCTGTGGGGAGCATCCTTCTCATAATAGGAAGTGAATTTTCTTCTTACTGTAAACATGAACCTGACTTCAGCTAACCAAGGGCACAAGGAACTTTTTCTTCAATGCCTGCCATCATCAATCAAAAGGAGTAAAATGAAAATTTTGTTATTCAAAATTTATAAAAATGTAAGGATAGGAGAAATTTAAATAATTAAAATTTCAAATGAAGTTTTTTCTAAGTCTATAGCATTTATACTTCTGAAGTTATTAAAGCTTACACATGCACTCAGCTATTAACTTTGGGAAACTATTAACTTACATAAGATCTCAAATTTAGCCACAGTCATTTAAGAAGAAATAGTGGTTAGGAAATTCAGAAGACCATAATCTACACAAAAACCTTCACGCCCTAAAGATAGAGATGATTTGCTTTTCCAAAACAAAAATTAAAACACAAACAAGAAATATGATTGTTTGGATAGAAAATCAAGTACAAACAAGCAAAGGCCTAATTAAAGATGAGTTAATTGATCTTTTTTAAATCTAAAAGTTCAATGACAGGCATCATGTGATGCTAAAAGAACTGAGTTAATATTTATCATTCAAAAGAATTTATAAAAATAAACAAACAAAAAACTTAGAAAAGTGCTTAACTAAGAAAATTCCATTGGGACACAGAATGCTGAAGGTAGGACATTAGATTCAATGATTCTGAAAGTTACATGCTCACTAACCTAACTTTTACCTCTAGAAAAGTAAAGGAAAAAAACCAAAATATATTACAAAAAATAGGATACTAAGCAACACACTTTTTAAAAATAGAAACAAAAGAGAAATTTTAGGAAGTCTTTCAGGTTTCATTTAGCACATATCTAATAGGTGGTTACAAACTACTTATAATTAAATTCCTAAGTGTTACCAATGGATAAGAATTATCCAAAGGGAAATAATAAATACTTAAGAACTGGTTCTAGGCCCAGTGTTAGCTAAGTATTTTCAGCCATGACACAGATAATTGGCTGAAATTACCATCAAATAAACCAAAAAGGAAATAACAGACCTGCTCAAAGTCCCTTTAGCAGCAAGTAACACAATCAAGAAGATACGATTTTTGTAAAAATATAGATAAAAAAGACAAGACTACTTCTGTCTAAATGACAAAAGCAAAATGGGTTAGCATTTATCCTAAGACTTAATGGCCACAAACAGGCTGAGTATGGAATAAGTATTAAATCCTAAAATATTAGAATTAAAAACTGCAACCCTCAAAACTTATAGAAGATTGTCTTTCAGACCCCTCGTAAAAAGTTAGTATTGTATTTTTTAATGAGCAGAAACCAATGAACTTGTCATTTATAAAACATGGTCAAAAGCACAATTAAGTTCAATAAGAGTTTAAATGAATGTAGGGATGACCATTGGTCAGAACCAATAAAAAATAGGCTAGAAGATATAAACCCTGAAGATACAGAGTAAATATTTTAAATAAACTGAGGAAATTAAAGGAATATTCCAACCCCACAGGGTATGAATTGTAGTAAGACATCCAGGAACCATCTAAGGAAAATAAGGTGCCTGTGAGTCAGCATTATGCCTACGTTCAATTCATTTCTGAATCGCTCACAGTGTCTAATCCAGTGGTTCTCAACCTTCCTAATGCCGCGACCCTTTAATACAGTTCCTCATGTTGTGGTGACCCCCAATTTCATTGTTACAAATTGAACACAATTAAAGCATAGTGATTAATCACAAAAACAATATGTAATTATATATGTGTTTTCCAATGGTCTTAGGCAACCCCTGTGAAAGGGTCGTTCGACCCCCAAAGGGGTCGCGACCCACAGGTTGAGAACCACTGGTCTAATCAGTGCCTTGCTCATTGTAAAATCTCAAAGATTTAATAAATTATTATATTACTACCTGACCTAAAAAGCAAGCAGGAAACTGGTGTATATATAACCAGGAACCCCACATTAGTTAAGCATCTATATTTGAAAAGCACTAATTTCTATCACAAGTTATACAACTATAGCAAAAAGTTGTAAACCTGGTTGGGCATCCTATATAATAATGAGCTAATATGCAAATGGTTGACACACCATCACGCCGGGGCCAGGGGACCTGAGGCCGTGCCCCCCGGTGCCGGGACATGAGGCTGTGTCCCCTGCCCAGCGGGGCTTGAAGGGAGTGGGGCCAGTTGGGTCTTGGTGTCACCCAATGGGGGTGGGGCTGGCTGGACACTTCTATTATAGAGAAAGGACAAAGCAATATTAAAGTATTTCCTCTAATTAATTCCCTTTTGATGTGCATGAATCTCATGCACCGGGCCACTAGTAATGAATAAAAAAAGTACAAACACAATTTAAAAGTTAAGAAAGAAGGCTGATAAACTAAAAACACCTCCCCCTCTCTCACTATCCACAAGTGCAAATATAACCATCACCCACCGTCCTGTCTATTTCTGATTGTCTACTTCTCTCCATCTCCAGCGCCACCACTATCTGCCACCAACACAACTAATTACCGCCTCCCCAACTAATCTATATCCAATACCTTCTCGGTGCTGCAGGCAGATCCTTTAAGATGAATCCTGCCCCTCTCCAGCATCAAATCCATGGAAAATTCCCATCTGTTGTCCTTTCTACTTGGCCTGCAAACCCCTGCATGTACTTTCCAAATTCTTCAACTTCACTGATCCCACACCTGGCTAAAGCTTAGCCTCTCCAGCTTCTTTTGGGTCCCAAACACACAAGGCTCTTTCCCTCAAAATAAGCTACTTGACTACAATAGAGGAGGTAACCCAAGTGAACAATTCAAAAAGACCCTTCAGATCGTATAAATCTTTCGCCTTTTACAAAAAGACCCTTCAGGCTCTCTCATATGCCTTAAACCTCAAGTGTCTAATCTGTATGTAATTATAACCACTTAAGATAAACCCAAGAAAAGGAGTGGGGATGTGGTTGCATGATTGTCTCTCCACCCCTCTGTTAGTAGGGCCATTTTTCATCATTTATCTCAATACTGAGCAACGAAAATCATATAGAAATAACTGGGTGCAAAAGCTAAGATCAAAATTATCTACAATTCTCATTTCCAAACTTTGCTTTTAGCAAACATGATTAATCTCATTGACTTGATACAAACATTACAAATGTGAACTTACAAAAACATCCATATAAATATCACTTTTGTTCTATATATTGCAATAAAATGTTTTTAAATATTTTTTATTGTTGACAGAATGACAGGTATCCCCCATTTCCCCCTCCAACCAACGCCTCCCCCACTTCAGGCTTTCACCACATTATTGTCTGTGTCCAGGGGCTATGCATATATGAATACAAGTTCTTTGGTTAATCTCTTCCCATTCTACCCATTCCCCTTCCCTCTAAGACAAGGTGGGCAAACTTTTTGACTCGAGGGCCACAATGGGTTCTTAAACTGGATGGGAGGGCCGGAACAAAAGCATGGATGGAGTGTTTGTGTGAACTAATATAAATTCAAAGTAAACATCATTACATAAAAGGGTACGGTCTTTTTTTTTTTTTAGTTTTATTCATTTCAAACGGGCCGGCGGGCTGTAGTTTGCCCACGGCTGCTCTAAGATCTGTCAGTCTGTTCCCATGCATCTATGGCTCTGGATCTATTTTATTCATCAGTTTATTCAACCAGTTCACTAGGTTCCACATGTAAATGAGATCATGGGATATTCGTCTTTCTCTGACTGGCTTATTTCACTTAGCATAATACTCTCTGGGTCCATCCATGCTATAAAAAAGGGTAAGAGATCCTTCTTTTTTATAGCTACACTAGAGGCCCAGTGCACAAAATTCATGCACATGAGTGGTGTCCCTCAGCCAGGCCTGCACCCTTTCCAATCTGGGACCCATTGGGGAATGTCCAACTGCCATTTTAGGCCCAATCCCTATGGGCCTAAACCAGCAGTCAGACATCCCTCTCACAATCTGGGACTGCTGGCTCCTAACCGCTCGCCTGTCTGCCTGCCTGACTGCCCCTAACCATTTCTGCCTATCAGCCTGATCGCCCCCTAACCGCTCCCCTGCTGGCCTGATCACCCCCAACTGTCATCCCCTGTTGGCCTGTTTGTCCCCAACTGTCCTCCCCTGCCAGTCTGATCGCCCCCAACTGCCCTCCCCTGCCCGCCATCTTATGGCAGCCATATTGTGATGACGTGAGGGCAGCCATCTTGTGGTGGCCCTCTTGTGATGACATCGTGCGAGGGCATGACGCCACCTAGGCTTTTATTATATAGTATAGTATTCCATGGTGTAAATGTAGCATAACTTTTTATCCACTCATCTACTGATGTTAACTTAGGAAAAAAATGTTATTTGCTATTTAACAAAAAAAAGCTTGAAAATATAACTACATAATATATCACCAAACAGAAATAGTAGAGGGCAAAAATATGGAATGTTTTTATGGACCTGATACACAGAAGGAATTCAAAATATGCTTATGTCCTTCCCTACCAAACAGTGTGATTCTTCTCTCTTCCTCTCAGCCTTCATCTCACCAACACTGCACTTAATTGTCCTACTCTAGGCTATGGGAAGCTCTTGTTTTTCAGGCAGGTATATTGCAAAAAGTAGCCATGAGCGTAAAGAAAAGGCTAAAGGACAAATAAAGCCAACAGATGAAGAATGTGGGATAGAAATTATCTGCCCAGGGATTGACCAGGGAAATGCATATAGGTAGATGATCATTATCAAGTTTACATAGGAGAGAGTAAGTGTGTAGATTATATATGGGGAAAATAGAAGACCAAGTAGATTAAAAATGGGAATTGGCTTCTTTTCCGACGAAACACCAAATGGCGGATGACGCCGGTGCTGCGGGAGGGCCCGGAGGCCCCGGGGGCCCCGGAATAGGAGGTCGCGGCGGTTTCCGTGGAGGATTTGGCAGCGGCATTCGCGGCCCGGGTCGGGGTCGGGGCCGGGGCCGAGGCCGCGGAGCTCGTGGAGGCAAGGCCGAGGAAAAGGAGTGGATCCCTGTCACCAAGCTGGGCCGCCTGGTCAAGGACATGAAAATAAAGTCCCTAGAGGAAATCTACCTATTCTCCTTGCCCATCAAGGAATCGGAGATCATTGACTTTTTCTTGGGGACGTCCCTCAAGGACGAAGTCTTGAAGATCATGCCTGTGCAAAAGCGGACATGTGCTGGCCAGAGGACCCGGTTCAAGGCATTTGTCGCCATTGGGGACTACAATGGACATGTCGGTCTGGGTGTGAAGTGCTCAAAGGAAGTAGCCACTGCCATCCGTGGAGCCATCATCCTGGCCAAGCTCTCCATTGTGCCTGTGCAGCGAGGCTACTGGGGAAACAAGATCGGCAAGCCCCACACCGTACCTTGCAAGGTGACTGGCCGCTGTGGCTCTGTACTGGTGCGCCTCATCCCTGCCCCCAGGGGTACGGGCATTGTCTCGGCCCCTGTGCCTAAGAAGTTGCTGATGATGGCTAGTATTGACGACTGCTACACTTCAGCCAGGGGCTGCACTGCCACCCTGGGCAACTTCGCCAAGGCCACCTTTGATGCCATCTCTAAGACCTACAGCTATCTCACCCCAGATCTCTGGAAAGAGACCGTGTTCACCAAGTCTCCCTATCAGTGGCCACCACATAATTTTATACAAGAAAAATAAAGTGAATTAAGCCTGCTAAAAAAAAAAAAAAAAAAAAAAAAAAAAAGGGAATTGAAGGTTTCTCGTATTTCATATTTTAACAAATACTTTACCTTTACCTTAGTGTTATTCATATAGCACATTTTACTTGCAATATACTGATCATGAAGCTTAACTTAGGTTTCATTTTCTGAGGAAGTATAATCTAGGAGTTAGGAGGACAAGCTCTAAAGTCAGGCATCCTGGGTTCAAATCTTGGCTCTGATACTTGTTAGTTATAAAATCTTGAATAAATTATTTAACACCACCATGCCTCACTTTCCTCAGGGCAAAATGGAATTAATAATAGCAACATAGTTTCCATTTCTGGTGCTCTTCATTCCTCCAGATGATCAACTTTCAATCTGGTATCCTTTCCCTTTAGCCTGAAGAACTACCTTTAGCATTTTTTGCTGGCAACAAAGTCTCATTTTTGTTTGTACAATGTTATTCTCTCTTTCCAAGTGTTGACTTCCCTTCAATTTCTTCCTGCTTATGGTCACTCTCCAGTGCCTCCAGAGAGTTGTGGGTTTTTTGTGTTTTGTCCAGAATTTAAAATGGTTTTTTGCAGGAGGATTAGTTCAATACGAGCTACTCCACTATTACTAGAAGCAGCTAACATTTTAAGATGCCAGAAATGTTTTAAATATTCAAAGGATATTCTTGGACATGTAACCATAGGTAAAAGATTATAATAATTCAAATTATATATTCATAGTTGTCACTCTTATTCCATAAGTTGATTCATGTAGTCTATCAGATTATAATTTAGCAAGCTAAATTGTATCAGCATTATTTCTATTTTTCCTCACATACAATACACTTCACTTTGTCTTATGTAAATGTGATAGTGGTCATATACCTAGAAAAATAACCATGTACTTGGCTGTTTCTTCTACTAGAGTTTTGTTTTTTTCTTTTCATTTGTTTAATAAAGAGAAACCAACTCCAGTTAACTTTAACCGAAAAGAAACATATTGCATGAAAACCAGGTAGATTACAGAATCAATGGAAACTTAGAGAATCAGGCTCCAGAAAAAAACAAAGTAGGCAAGGTATGATGAAAATTCTAAATCATATACTCAGATCCCATAGCCTTGGAACCCACTGAATACTCATCCCCATTCTCCACCCTCATACAGGCATACTCTCCACAGCTGCGTCATCTAAGCAGTTTAACATCATTTCCTTAAGAGTCAGAGTCCTGGGCAAGATTGTCTGATTCATTCACAGTCTAACTACCAGAAGTAGACAGGTAGATCCTACCTCACCATATTTAATATTCCCCCCAAATAAGAAGGATATGCAACTGTTAGCTCTACTATATTGTTATTATAAAATGGAGAGCATAAATGATTGGCAAGGGAGCAAACATCAGAAAAAAATCGTAAAATATGAAGATTTCACAAAAATAACATTATTGATTCTCTTATAGTTCAGTGCTTCTAATTATTTTGCAGTTAGTTATACCTTACTTAAAATCTGATGTACAAAGCTCTCACAAAACAAATAAGGCAAGGAGGAATTAATTGCATTAGAAGAGGACTCGTGCTTTTGAAAAGTATTCATTGTTGGATTCCTTCAAATAGTTGGCTCCTCCACTGCAAATAAAATAAGATTAAATTGATAAAAATCCCTATTTTTTCTACTTTCTGAAGCAGAAAACAGGCTTTAACCATCCAACTTTTGCATGTATACCTAGAACATCATATTATTGATTTATAGGTTTATGCATTTTGAGGTGCACACCCTCAGAGAATTTACATGATTAAACTGAAATAATTCTGTGGACATGAAACAGTTTCTTTCTTGCAATTACTAAAATCAAGCTAATATAAGTACCAGAGAAAAAAATCAGTACTGATAGTACGGAAAATTGTGAAAGACTGAAATTTAATGGGTGCCTAGGCTAGCCCAGCCATTTGTCTGTCATTGTCAAGGCTTTTTAAATAAGTCTGTAAAGAGAGAGGTTAACTTGTAGAAAATTGATAATAATACAAATGATTCCTGTCTACAGAAATGCAAATTGGTCCTGATTATTGTCCAGTGCATAGTAATCAATTTTGCCTATTCTACATTGACTTGTAAATTCATTTCAGCATTCCTTATTAGACTATAAATATGTGGTACTTCAAACTGGCAACAATATAATATCACAATTAATGAGTTAAATAAAATATTTGACTCATGTTCATTTTATATTTGTATAAAAGTCATAATCATATTCTCTTTAAAATGAAAAGACGAATATATACCACTGCCACCAATAATTCTATAATACAATATTTAAAAATATGACAAAGGAGAGATGCTTAGAACTGCTCTAACTAAAGAGACTTAGTATTACTGATACAGTAATTATTTCTTTATATTACATGACAAAAATAACCTAGAAATGCAGTGTTCTCTACTAGACACTTTGTCTGTCTCTCTACACATGCACACTATATATATGTATATATACGCACACATATATACTATATAGTACACAGTATACATATACTGTAGGCTATATGTCTTATACAATACTTAGTATATATAAACTTACATTACTATTCACATACATAGCACACAGCATACAGAATGTGCATATGTGTATATGCACATATATATGCTATAGACGGTATAAAATTGAGAACTATCCTAATATTAAATGGATAATTATTTCCACCAATTAGACTAAGAATCCAGAAAATAACTATGAATCATGACTTCTGTATTTTAACTCTCACCTAGTTGTGTATTACAATGAACAGCACAATTAATTTGGCATTAAGAGTTTATTTTCTTTTCATAGGCATGCAGTTAAGCAATTTTTATCTTTTTTATTTGACATAGATTGAATACGTACCACAAGTGAATAGCTTTCTCATAATCAACTTATAATAATAAAATCACAGGGGCAGGCCAGAGGGGGTCAATGGGGGGGGGGACATATGTAATACTTATAACAATAAAGATTTTAAAATAATAATAATATCAGATTTTCATAATCAGAAAAGACCATGATCTTTTAAAGCTTTTACTCTAAAGCATTTCAAAGTAGTTTCAAATAATAGTAACCAAAATGCTTTTTAAAAATTCCTTTGTAATCAGTTCTATTCAGTATGGTAACTTAATTCATTTTAGTGCATATTTCAAACTTTCATATTTAATCCTACCTAGAGAACAATTTCCAAAGTGATATTTCCTGAAGTCAAAAGCCAGACTTCATGTCTCTTGAATAATCTTACCTTGTGGTAGTTTTAACTTCAGTGAGTCTATGTGCCCTTCTAAAGTGGTTCTGGCTGGCCTGGGCTTGTTGGAAATAGTTGGTTCTGTTAGACAGCTTTTAAAATGCCAACACAGTTAAGAATTCACACGACGTACAAGGAAAGTATTGTACTTTAAAATAAAGATGTGTTTCTTCTTGTGAAATAAAGTTAATCATTTGGGTGTCTGCTTAAAGGAAACGGGATAGTTTTATGTTCTCTAAAAAATAATTGAGAGGATGTCTCATCTAACTTTTCCCTCCCTTTATCTCATTTCCAGCATGACCTAGAGATCAAATGTTTTATCTATGACAGAAAAAGAAACATATCATTAAAGGATGCAAACCTGCACAATCTAATGGTCACTGAAACCTGTGAGAGTCCAAACAACTGCCCTGTATTTTTAATATCTGAAAATAATCAAATAATTTTATGTTAAATGCAAATTTTCCAAGATCCCTAGTATATCCACTCTAAAATTTTAAACAAATATACTTGATATGAAAAGCGGCATTTTATCCAAATATCAAATATTATACTGAGTATTTGAACAGCAAACACAAACAGTCCTAATCCCGATCACAGACTATGTTGTGAAATGTTAATGTATTTAAATTTTTTAATTATACATGGAATTAACTGAAATACTGTACTTTAAGCAATTATTAATATTTCAGTCATATTAAATAACAAGAATACATGAAAAATTGATACTCAATGCAGGAAATTTTCAAAGGCAAATTGTACATTGTGGGAAGTCTAGTTCTGGCTTCTGGAAAATGCGAACTGCTAGTCTACACAGATATTCACAAAGTGCTGAATAGCTCTTTCAAGAATAATACTAAATGATGATGCTGTGATAACATAAAACTATAAGAAAATATTCTGAGTTACGTTTATACCACTTAATCAGGCCAAATTCATACAACAGACTTAACAGTCATGGTTTCACAATATTTTTAGTGAATAATGCAAGATATTAAATTATTGAAATCCTTGTCCTAGTTTTATACCAATTTTCAGCATTACCATTATTTAAAATAAATCAAAATAAATGTCACATATTAATATTCTGAAAATAACTCAAAGTAAATCAATTAGCTTACATTGTCTAAGACAAAGTAAGGCTCTGCTCTGGCAGGTAGTTGGAGAAGAATCATGGTTTTCAGAACACATATTAATCCTTTTCATTGGAAGATCCTGTGGCCAGCGCCCCTTGTCAGTATGGCTGGGGGAGAGGGTGGGTTCCCTAAGTGGTTGCCCACCTTCCTAATGCCGCGACCCTTTAATACAGTTCCTCATGTTGTGGTGACCCCCAACCATAAAATTATTTTCGTTGCTACTTCATAACTGTAATTTTGCTACTGTTATGAATCGTAATGTAAATATCTGATATGCAGGATGTATTTTCATTGTAACAAATTGAACATAATTAAAGCATAGTGATTAATCACAAAAACAATATGTAATTATATATGTGTTTTCCGATGGTCTTAGGCGACCCCTGTGAAAGGGTCGTTCGACTCCCAAAGGGGTCGTGACCCACAGGTTGAGAACCGCTGCCCTAGAGGGCAATGTGTATCTGCATCCTGGTTTCTGGCACAAGAACATTTAAAACTCTTGGCGTTTCCTGAGTGATGAGTGCCTTCGGTATGAGATGACTCTTGGCTGAAGTGCTCCTAGGTACCTGCAGGATGGGTGCTAGTCTCCAGAAAGACCAAGGTCTAATTA